GCCGGCCGGACTTCATTCCACAGATGTGCTTTAACAAAGTGTGAAGCTGAACTCTGAGCTGTGACAGTGTGAGCAGTGTGAGAGTGTCAGTAGATGATCAGCAGAGGAAAGTGAAGCTGCTGTGAGCTGATGTCCTGAAGGGCTTTGAAAGAGTCTCTGAGTTTGACAGGAACATGAAGATGTTTGTGGTGTTTGTGATCCTCCTGCACGGTAAGTACACCTTCCTCTCTCTGCTCTCATCATCAGCTTTTCTTTCATCTCTCTCTCTTTAATGTGTTGAAGTGCAGCAGGAGGAGATTTCCACCAAACACTGGATTCTGATTCAGATCAAACTAACAATCCAAAGCAGCAACTTTCAAATCTCTGGATTCTTCTTGGTGGTTTCCAGATCAGCTCATGTTACAGTCAGCTGCTGTGTGTGTGTTTGCTTCCTGTGTTTTTTGCACTGATCTATGAATGAATCATAGATTCCTGGAAACGCACAATCCAAAACTGAAGAAGTCACTTGGATGAGTGATGACTCACTTCTGCCACTGAAAACGCTACATATAGATGAACCGAATCAACTTTTTGGGTTTTCCTTATTCTCTTTAATAGGACTGCATCATCTGTTTTTACTTCAATACAAAAAAAAAACCTCCCCTGTCGCGGATATTTAAAATCCCCAGAAATCCTTGTAGAAAAGTTAACATAAACTGTGTATATTGGAAACAATTAGCTTCTGATAAGAAGCATCTGATTCAGACTTTAATACTCTGCCTGAACACAAAATATGTCCTTGGACAGCAGCTGGAAAACCCAATGGTCCGACAGCCGTTGCTGTTATACTTCTTCACCATGTGATGAAGACATTTATGTCAGGTCTGAGTGGACCTGAAAGGCTGGTACCAGAGGCAGGATTTTAGTTTACCGAGTTTCTGTCAAGTTACCTCAAAGTGTTCTGGAAAAAGCAGTTCTCTGAAAAAGTTCATTAGGAAACATTGAAGCTCCATCAGTCTGCAAACAGCGAGAGCCTCTATAGTTCTTTCACAGTCCTTAGTGGAAAAACTACATTTCTACATAATATATAGATTCTTAAGAACCACGGGATTCCTCCTTTTATTGATTTACTTTATTAAAATAGGATCACTGTAATTTTTCATCTCTTTTGTTCCTTGTTGCTGTCAGAGGATTTAACTCTGCTGAGGTTGCTGCTGAAAAAAGTCAGAGACC